ACTAAAGAGCGAGTGGTTTCCAACTTTTTCCTTCCTTCTCCACCGCCCCCCCCCCCCCCCCCCCCCCCCCAACCACACCACCACCCCATTATCAACTGGCTGAAGTCAGATAATTTCACGTCATCCAAAAGGACTTCAGAAAACTTGTGGCTCCCCAATTATGTTTCAATATACTGTATTTAAACCTTGTCTTATTTTTTTTTTAAATTTTAGCCTGCTATGAGGAACACTTTTAGATTGAACATGTTAATACTGCTCTCCCCAGAGTAGGATTTTCCCTTTTAGTTATGACTACTGATCAGTTATTTCCCATAATGTGTGGTGATGAAGTTGGCCATTAACTTTAGCAGTGTTGACGATCTCACCGTTTTGAATGACTCTCCTGTGCTGCCTTGCTAGTGTTCAACTCAGTAATTCCCAGTTCTCACTAATATTTAAGACAAAATGATCTAATATGACAATTTGTGTAACGTGAGCCGTACAGATGGGATGCTTCACAGTGGGATGCTTCACAATCTTCAGCTCTTACTGTAAAATGTTGTTATCCAATGTCCTAATGTTAACTGAAAAAGATGTGAAATTGGATATATAAACTAATTAGTTGTTGTGCAGCGATTTCTTCCTCAGATGTAGGCGTCTTTGCATCAGGGTAAACATCAAACTTTGTAGCACTTTTTTATTTGCTGACTGGGCAATGAATACAATTCCTTGGCAATATGGGTATCTGAGGGATTCTCATTTATTGGTATCAACTTTTAGGGCCTATTACTCAGTTCTTTTGAAGGGGCTTTGGTGTCCTCTGAGGCAAAAAAATAATATCTCACACTATCTTTAATTGTTTAAAATCTAGTCCTATTGAACTGCCTGTTCCTCTTCCCCCTCCCTACCATGATTTCCTGGCAAATTTAAAAAATAAAAAATGTGTGTAGTGCTGAGAGAAGTAATGATTGCAACGCTCTTATTTTTATGGGACTTGGGTTTGTTTGCAGCCCAGACCAAATAAACAGGAGCCTTCTTAATGGTACAAGGATCCTAAAATGAAACTAGTTTTTAGTCAGAGAACAATAATGAGTTGTGAGGAGGCATGTGTCTACATCATAAAATTACACATATTTTAGCACTAATTGACTGTCTCACTGTGCAGCCATAACAGTAGCTATGAAAAATGTGAATGTCCTATTGGTGCAGCAAGGGGTACTCCTTGAAGTTGGGGTTAAGGTACGTTATTGTACCATAGCTGTATATGGGTTAATGTAAATTTTATTGTCACATAATCCGAGAGTCTGCTTGGTCTCTACACTTTTTATTTGAAAAATCTGTATCGTGGAAATTCTTGCAGCATTGCCAAATAAAATTGGCCATTCAATGAATCTTATGTGGGACATTGCTACGCACAAATTGTCTTCTGAGTTATCCTACAAAATACACAATCACTAATTTAAAGTAAATCCCGAGAAGCACTTGTGAAACCTTCTGCTTGATGTGAAAGGCACTATATTAAATGAGAGGATTATTATTTATCCTGTGCAGTCTCTACATTATGCCACATTTGGCAATGTTATGTGTTCCGTTTTCTTTTTAAACTTTGTTTTAATAAACTGCTTACAAATGCACTTTTGATTCCCGTGACTCCAGTTGGTTATACAGTAACAAACCTAAGATCCACACTGATCAGCGCCCTGGGACGTCCTCCCGACATGAAAGACGCTATACAAATGTAATCTTATTGTTGTAATTAAGACTGTCCCTATTGTGGATATGAAAGTAGTGCGGTCAAGGGAAAGGGAAGGTGATCAGAAGTCCATTTGACAAGAAAGGTCTTAATATTGGCTTTAAAGGTGAGGGGGAGAAACTTTGATATGCAGTGCCATCGTGCCAGCAGAAGGCCTGGCTGCTGATGGCAGACTGGTTGGTGTTTCTGAGCAGACGGAATGGTAGACCTGCAGGTGGTTGCAGAGGGAAAAGACCATAGAGGGTTATGAACGCATTTGAATCTGGGGAGTCCAGTAAACTGGACATTGGAATAGTTGAGGCTGGATGTGATATGCAAGAATTTCAAAAATACACATTTTTCAAATAAAAAAAGTGTGAATGATGATGTTGGCGCAGACACACATAGACACCACATATACCCACCGCATACACCCACAACATGCGACTTTATCTTGTGCCTTAGTTCTCATCAGACTTGAAGTATCTTTAACGCTTGCGGAAACCTATCACCATGCTTCAGAGTATCCAAATCAAACTGAGTTCAATAAAACATACTTAGTGGAGTCCTGTAGCTCAGTGGTTAGAGCACTCATCTTGCAAGCGAGAGACCTGGGTTCGATTCCCGGCAGGGCGAAACCTTGGATAAATTTCCTTACTCCACACGCCTGATAATAACCCCTCAAGAAAAACAAAACAAAAAAACAATAAAATTGGTCACTTCAATCCACGACTGTGTGTGGGACACTGCTGTGCGCAATTGGCTGCCACATTTCACCCACAAATATACAGTCAATTCACTTTACAGTATATTCTCTGAAGCGCTTTGAGACGTCTAGAAGACTATATCAAATGCAAGGATTATTATTATTAAGCAGGTTTGGAAGGGAAAAAGAGGGCAAAGTTTAACTTTGTCTTGATTGGATAACCCCTTCCCCAGTCACCATGTTCAATCATGCATTTACCTCCCCGCACCACCTCTCTTCCGTCAATCTCTGCTCTGCCTCGTGCTTTGTACAATCTCATGAGAAGCAGCGTGGAGAAAGATTAGAAGAAGCGAGGTGGGGGTGGGTATGAGGCAACGCAGAGAGTTTCAGGAAGAGAGGGGGAGCAGGAGGTATGAGTCAGGGAGAAAGAGGTGGGAAGGTTGTAACGATAAGGACCCCCAGATCGCTTAATCCAGCTATGGGGATTTGTGCTGCCTGGAACCCTACTTACCCTCCATGTTCACCAACAACTTTTCACTGAGATCTCAGCAACTCCCTGCCAGTCATTCATTCAGTATGAACGCACCATTAATTCTTTTCACCACATAGTGAATGTTAATTAAGAAAATATTAACATTTCAAGAATTGAAGAATATTGTTTGCATATTAAATACACAGTCACTACACTTTACAGTAAATCCTGTGAAGCACTTTGAGACATCCATATATATCAAATTGAAGGATTATTTTATTTCACATTTATATTCTGTTATCTGGTAGAGAGTTTGGATTGCAAGATTCAAGATCGCTGATCCTATTTTGTATTGTGGGTATTCTGATTTTAACAGTAAATCATTTCATTTTGTTTTAATTGGCAATTTGTTGACAAGCACCTAAATCTCTGCTGAGCAATTCAAAACCTGGGTCTCGTTTCCAATGACTCAGCATTGATCCACAACTAATCCTGTGTAACCTATTGTTTTTATTGAATGTAGTGCTCCTGGCATTTCCTCTCTGTACTGTGCTGAGGACGGCAGGTACAGTACTTCTGTTTTGTGACAAATTGCAAGGTTTGTCTTGAGAGAGAAGAAATGACTATTATAAAAATATCAATAAATCATCTTACATTTAACATAGCTCCTTTCACGTCAGGAGAATGTTTCAGAGCGATCCACAGGACACGTTGTGTAGTGACTATGTTGTAGGTGAACCAAGTGTAAGCATGTCTGCTATTACCTATGATTGTAGGTTTTTATACATGACACACTAAGTACAAATGGAGCAAGCACCGGCCTCAAGACCCTCCTCTTCGACCGTGCCTTCGGCCATCCTCCTACACTCTCTGATCCCAATTACCCCCCCCGCCCCCTGCTTGAGTACAAATCCCTGACTGTCCAGCACCTTGAGACGTTCTCCTGACATGAAAGGCGCTTTACAAATGTAATTTTGTATTGTAATGTATTCACTCTTCATATTTCCACTGGTTGGTGAGTCAGTGACTTGAGGGCAACAATTCACACTCATTAAAAAATGAGCAAATTAGGAGGTTAGGAGAATTTGTGCATGCGTAGTCTTTAGGATATGGAGATTAGGAGAATTTGCACTGCTAGGAGCTGTGGTTCAGGCAGAATCCATATTAGCTTTCAAAAGTGAACAAGACAATAGTAACAGGGCAGTGGGGAAAGGGCAGATAAATGGAACTGAAAGAATTATTCTTAAAAGAGCCAATAGAGACCCGATGGGCCAAATTACCTTCTGTTCTGTAAATTTCTATGGATCTGTCTTCACATAAATATTGGTGGGGTGGGGGGAATACCTACCTGGGGATTACTGTCCCTCTACAGAATTTGCATTCTGTGCTGTTAGCGGAACCTACTGATGAAGGTTTCATGTGGTTCTTTGTCAAACACCTTTTGGAAGTCTTGGTATATTGTGTAATATGGCTTCCTTCAGTTAATTTGGAGAGTCACCTTCTTACAAAAAGTCTATGAGGTTGTAATGTTTTATGTAAGTATTCTGTGTTTAACTCATTTTCTATTTCTTCACAAGATATTACAAAAATGTATGTGGTATTATGGGTCACGACAGTTTGCTTCTCCATTCTGATTTTCTCTCCGCTCTTTTGCCTCCTAAAGGGATTTGATTCCAATTCTGCTCAAATGCTGTTCCGTGGTTACTAATTGCCGTCTGGCACCTTGCCTGGGTATTCGTATGCAAACCTTGAGCATGGGTGTCAGCGTGAATTGACCACCGGGGGGCATCACAAGTCTAGCCTGGTCCGGACATCTAAACACACACCTCTAGTAGGGAACACAGAAGTCAATTACAGCACATCCCAGGGATCAGCTTCTTGCCACATAAGATGCTGAGCTCGAGAAGCCTTCTTTTTCAAAGCTGTCTTTTTTTTAAAATTCGCTTAAACGGAAGACCATCGTTTTCTTCAGTCTTCTTTTAAAAAAAACTTGGAAAAACGCAGCATGACGTATGAAGTCATATAATATATTGCGCTTTTAGTCCAAATTATGACACTTATAAGTGCTAACACTTATGAATATTAACTACATTTTCTGTTTGTTTTTTCAGCTGTTCCTGCCAACGTAGCTGAACTGAGGAATCTAGAAGTGCTGAACTTCTTCAACAATCAGATTGAGGAGCTTCCAACACAAATAAGTAGCCTTCAAAAACTGAAACATCTGAACCTTGGGTAGGTAACCTTTTGCCAGTTACCTGTATTTGCACTGATTGGGACAGTCACCATTTGTAAATAAGCAGGCAGTGCAGATAATTAGACATCACACAAAATATAAACTGGCAACAGTGCTAACTATAAAATTTTCCATTGGGACTTATATTACTAAAATACAACAACAAAATTACAGATGTATAGTGTCTTTCATGTCGACAGGATGTCCCAAGGCGCTGAACAAATACCGCATTATGCCAACACTTCTCTCTCTCACTGCCTTTCAATCTCTTCTCTCTCTCTCTGCCACACTCTTAACTTCCTATCTCTTTCTATTTCTATAGTATTTCTCGCTTACCCTGAACTCTATACTGTTTTTTAAAAACATCTAAAGACTTGCCCTTCCTTACTGGCAAAAAGCACATTTGGAATATTTACAGTAAAGTTGCAAAGTTGTAATCATGTTTGTGAGATCAAGAAATGTCAGGTCTGGGCTGGCTCCTATAACAATAATTTTGCCGATATCCCCACATCTAGCTCCATTTGGAAGGCCTGTTCCGTTAAACAGACATGTAGTTAATTGGCGTGTGGATAACGTGTTCTTTACATTTAAACAAACATAGTTTGATTGTTCTTGACAATAATATGTTTTAAGAGGGCAGATAAAACACAGGTTCAGAATTTATTAAACTCAAAATAAGTTGTTAGTGTTTACAGTGAACCCCAGAATTCACCATGTTTTCGAGCATCATCCACTTTTCTTCTCTCCCATCCCCAAATATCAATGCGCTCTGTGTAGGAACTTTATGGAAAGCAAACTCCAAAAAGAAACACTGGAATGCATTCCCCAATTCAGTACATGGATATACGCAATAGATGTAAAGGTTCATTCACACAACAATAAAATAGTGCAATTATTTTTAAAATCTGCTAAGGAGAACTATCCTTTTATTATCAGTGTAACATTTCAATTATCCCGATTATATTTTTTTAAAAAACTACAAAAGCCAGAAATGCACACCCAGCAGGTCGATCAGTATTTGAAAGACAAAGAGAGAAAGAATGTTTTGAGTCGAGGTGTGACTTGATGAAAAAGTACACCCAAGTCATAAAAATCCACTTCTCTTTCAGATCTAATTGACCTGGAATGCATTGCTACATTTTCTGTACTGTGCACTGTCAAGCTGCACATTCCTGCCTAAAAGGGTGTTAGATCAAATGCCCTAAAATTGTGCCACTTGAAATTTCTAAATTGCTGTCATCTGAGAAATCTTTTATCCTATCTTCTTGGACTGGATTCTAAACCAGGTCTTAGAAAGTGAAAGGATATGTTCTGACACTAAACTATATTCAGTCCAGTTCCTACATTGCACATCTGCCTTATCTTTGGCTCTAAATCTTTTGATCCTTTTCCATCTGATATGGTGTATTGCGAACAAAGAGATTTGTTTTTCATCATCAGGTATAAGGTTAGATTTGTAGTGTATTGCATTTGCTAAATGTACTTGTAGATTACTTGTAGAATTGGATGTTGGAGCAAAATCTACTCCAATGTAATCTCTGCTCTCTTTCAGACTGATTTTTAATATATGTGTGATGGGAATGCAAATGTTCTTCCTTCTTTCTTTCATATGCCCACTACAGCATGAACCGGTTGAACTCTCTGCCAAGGGGATTTGGGTCTTTGCCGGCACTTGAGGTGCTTGATTTGACGTACAACAATATGAATGAGAATTCCCTACCTGGCAACTTCTTTTACCTGAGTAAGAAACATTTTATTTCTCTTCTCTTTCCCACCCCCCCCCACCCCCCCAAAACAGAATTTGTCACCTTATTCGTTATTGTTGCTACTTAACTAATACAATGGTGCACACTGTAGTTTGGTTTCAACTAAATAACTTGGGCTTCTTGATTCTATCTGGACTAAAATGTTTGCATCTCATGGTAAGTGTGTCGCGCATATTATTTGTATTATAAAATTGAAAATCCATAGCTAGAGCCAGATCTTACTAAAATGCAAACCATATGCAGAATAGAATGGGAATGTGAAAGCATCACATTGATCACTAGGTTACACTTTATGGACTATACATTCTTACTAGTATAAATTGTGCCTTGTATATTTATCTTTCAGGATTCACATTATAATTGTCTGTAATACCCAGATCTTGCATCAAGCTTCAGCAATCTTGCAAATTACAGCACATCAATTGTGTGTAATAATATATTTTTAAACATGAACTAACGACTAGGTTACAACAATAAAAATGTGATTCATTCTTGAGCTTACTATTTTGCAGTTCGCCTTAAAGCACTCCGAGACACTGTCCGGCACGAAGGGTGCTATATAAATGCAAGTTGGTGTTGTTGTTTTGAATGCCCTGATTTGCAATCTTACAATCCTTAATAATAATGTCAAAATGTCTCCAAAGAGCTTCACAGGTAATTGCTCCCAAGTGTATTGACTGTATCTCTGTAGACAAATATAACAATTTTCATTCAGCAAGGTCCCACTAACAGCCATGAAATGACTGACCAAATGATCTGGAAAATTATTGACCAGACCATTAGGAGAAACTCCCTTCTCTTTTTGAATAGTGTTGCAAGATCTTTAATGTCCACCTGAACAGGCAAATAGGGTCCCTCTCTCTTGTGATCTCCTGGAATTTTACCCCGAATAACTTGCCGTACCTGTCATTCCTTTAAGCAGTACTGAGTGAGGTAGAATATTTCAAGTTCAATTACTGAACAGATGCTATATTAAATGCAAGTATTGTTATTATAATATTAATTGGGCAGCTAAAATTAACCTTAGAACCTTTGTACTAATGGTCTGATCAGTCAGGGTTCCTGCTCTGGTGACTAATTAGAGATCCTACCTCAGACCAATGTGGCTGTTAGAGTTCCTATTACAGAATTCTACCTGGTGGCACTGCACATGTGATACCTGGTCAGAATATAGGTTCACGGGACATATTCGCTCTTGCTCACATATATATTGCTCTTCAACGAAGTAGCCCGGTGATCCTCACAGTCTAGACATAAAGAACTGCCATTTAGGTTAGATATTGAAGATTCTGGAACTTTATTCCAGCAACAACGTGCATTTATAGAGCGCCCTTCTCGCGAGGCAGTGTCTCGGAGCACTTCACAGTGGGGGAGCCTGACACCGAACCGATGGGGGGAGGGAGGAGGTGATCGATGATGACTGAGGTCTATTACAATTAAGTTGAGGTCAAGGGGGTAAAACTAGCGAAGCAAAAAGTCTAAACGAGGAAGGAAAGACTGAAGAGAGAGTTCTATGCTCTTGTGAGATGAAGAGCTGAGGAAACTGAAAACTGGGTGGGGAGATGGGGGAAGAATGAGATGGGTATAAAGTTCAGGAAAGTAATTTGAAGTATGAGATGAAGGGATGCTGGATGATTTGGTCGCAATCATGTTCTGTACCTATAGATATTCTGGAGATGGCTTGTTACAGTGCTGAAGTTTTCCTTATTGGCAGTGAGTGACACCTTTGTTGTGTGGATCTGCTGCTTAGACCATCAGTTCCAATCTGACAGACCAAGCAGAACATTCACTTGTGACTGTTAGAGGAATGTGAGCTCTTACGAGTTATTTTTATATTAGCCAGTCTTTGTTTTGCCTGTCTTTCTTTACTGTTGCACTTTGGGTCAGTCCCCTGTTATTTTTTTTATTGCCCATTACTTTTCATTGGGTTAATGGAATTAGCCGATTGAGCTTGGACCATTGTGTTGCCTTTGCCAGTAAACTGTATTTAGACCAAAAAAAAATATTTAATCTAAAACAAAATCCAAACCCTCTGACTTATAATCAGAAAGCCTGAAGCCATACATTGAATATGTGGAATTGACACCCCCACCTCTTTACACCAATTTACACTTCATGCCCATCAGTGCTGAACGTGTTTAAATGGGAAATAAAATGTAAAATATACAGCCCACTGCATAACTCTTTTGGACAAAAAAAATTAGTCCAGCGAGTCTGGTTCTCCCTCCTACTACACTTGTCTCTTTGCTAACTGAAAATCTCTTGTGTCTCTGTCAAAATGATCTCCTGTGAATTTGGCCTTTTCACCTGCGAAAATGCATGGATAACCTTCAAATAGGAGTCTCGCGTATATTTGTGTTTAGGAACAATATGAATTTTCCAGCGCTTCAGTTATACATGTCAGCTGTTCCATATTAAACTTGGATATTTCAGGAGAAGTGCATTATGTGTAGCAATTATAATTAAAGCAAAACATTAATATTAGAAACAAGATAATTGGATCAGGAAATAAAATAATGTCTGCATAAGCCTTTAACTGCTGTGGATAACAATTACAATCCAACTGAATTTAGCTTAAAATAATAATAATCCTTGCATTTAATATCGCTTCTTTTCATGTTGGAAGGATATCTCAAAGCACTTCACCGGAATTGCTTAAAAGTTTAGTGGCCTTTTATTTTGTAGGCAAATTAGAGAATGAACTCCTATTTTAAGTAACATGCATTATGTTAATACTGTATATATAAATCTTAATTTTCTTTGTAAATTGTTGTATACATTCAAAAATAAAGTTGAGACAATGTTTCCATACCCCTGCAGATGGATTAACTTAAAAATGATTTGTGAAGGATATGAAGATTTCCAGGTATTTTAGCAAGAAGTCATGTCTTCATCTGTCTTCGGAGGGGCTGCAAACATTTGTTAATTGTGTCAATGTTTCAGGATATGGCCACTTTCCTCAACACAGCATCAACACAATAAACCAGTAAATCTAAGTTTGACCTCCTGCTTGTTGTTGGGTGCCCTGGGTCTGTCAGAGGCTTTTGCAAACCCAAGGCTATTAATCAAGCTTGACTACTTTTATTGATCAGACCTCCGTGGCCTGGTTATATGCCACATTGTTTATATATTGCTCTTTAATTTGCAGCCACCTTGCGTGCACTCTATCTAAGTGACAACGATTTTGAAACCCTGCCGCCAGAAATTGGGAAGCTCACAAAGTTGCAGATCGTAAGTAATTTATCTAAATTCGTGAAAAATCAATTCACTTTTGCAGCTCCTGTACGTTCAGAATGAAGTCAATTTGAACAGCTCTGGGGCTTATTTTGCTGGAATATACACCAACATCTGGTGCTGGCCTTTGTTCATCAGTTGAAATCTTGTATTAAATTGAGATTGTGAGAGGAAACAAACTAAGAACCTTTTGTGAGATTTTTCATTTGAAATCCGAATTGGTCTAATAACTTTGCTCTTCTCTGCAGATCAGCCTAAGGGATAATGACCTGATATCATTGCCAAAGGAGATTGGGGAGCTGACTCAGTTGAAGGAGCTCCATATCCAAGGGAACCGGCTAACCGTGCTGCCACCTGAAATGGGTAAGAAACAGATTTGGATTGGTGTCTAGTTCTGTATATTCGTAATTACAGTGCTCAGTAGATTGAAATGTTCTCAAAAAAGCCATATAAGTCTTTTTTTCTGCATAAATCTGTGTAGTTTTTTTTAAAATGAAGGAAAATGTGTTGCCTTGTGAAAAACACATTTTTTAAAAATGTTTTCTGTAAGTTTTTACGCTGCCTGCTTGTGAAGTTACATCGGGGTAAAAATTGAGGACGTTTCGAGTTACGTCAGTGCTCCAGGGAAGGTGCGCAAAAGCTGTGCTGAGGAGTCTAAACTTCTTGCAGACTTCTAGAAAAAGATAAGATACACTTTTTGGTGTTTTTTTAAAATCTAGTACAATTAAAATTTCCTGCGGTAATATGATCGCAAATCCATTTAATTTAGTAACTGGTTCAATATTTAAAATGAAGGAAATTTGGCACTTTAGTTCAGCTCCTGCATTTTTCTGCACTGAGTTTGTGTGATAAGGTTAATATTTCATATAAGGAATAAGATGGTCTCTATGCTTTGCTGCCAAAGGTGGTTTTAATGGATTCTTGTTCTGAACTTTTCCATGAAAAACATGTATATTTTAGCATGAGCAGTGCAGAAAGAACTGACAGTAATTTTTTTCTTTTTTTATTAAAAAGGGAAATTGACATTTCATATCACAGGGTTCTCATCATACAAGTCTACATACATTAAAACATCAATTTTAAATGTCATCCAGCCCATGCCTTGTGTGCATTAGTGATTTAATATTATGACCTCTCTATAAATTGCATAAGTTATGCAAGCAGTAGTTCAGGCATTTTAATCTCCATCTACACAGGAGTGAAAAACTCCCCCAGTCTTTTATATTGGAATGAGTCATTCAAGACTTACCTCCACAGCCAACCTGTTCACAGAGTTGCGCATGTTGGCGTCACAAATTGCTCAGGGATTAACAGTTTGTTGCACAATCTCTGACTTATTCTTGAGCCCTGATTTAAAGTTTAGAGAGTATAAAGCAGCATCCCATTGAAACCAAGTTTGCTGCTCTTGACAGGAGATTTTAGAGGTACCGCAATGCACTTGATTGAAAATATAGCAGTATTGCACACAAAAAAGGTTTGTGAAAATAGTTAGTGTCAATACTAGATGACACCACACTTGCAATATGAGCTCGATGATAAGTTGACCTTCTGCCGGAAAATTTTAAACCATTTTACAGAAGCATTCACCAGACTCTACACTCCATCCCTTAGGCAATTTTCTGTTATTGCACATATCATTCACGATTAGGACCTGTGGGGGCCGAATGGTTTGGCTGTGAAACTTCATTAGATTTTCGCTCGAAATTCAATGGTAAAATCCTGATTTCCCCAGAATATTCGCAAACCATCAATCTTAAATTGTTGTGCAGGTGAAGGTTTTAATAGGCTGATTAATGCTGCAGAGTAGATTACAATTTTTAACCTATGTGTGTCAAATCCAGAGTTAGATAGGTCACATTTGCAGGAATGATGTTGAAAGGTGCCTTCAGTTTTCATTTCTCTTCATTTTTAATAACTTTATTGGAGGATTCCATAAACTACTTGGTGTATCATTGCCAGATCCAGGAAGTTCCAAATGCTGCCAACTTGTAGTTGAGTAGGGTCACTGCTGGAGGCCAAGTATTTTTGCTTTTATGGCCTCTGACTGACCTATATCTAGTCCAAAGAAGTCGTAAAAAGTGAACGTTCTGCTTTTACCCGAATGCTGGCTTTTGTAGCCTGAATATTATTGTTTTAACTACATATGACACTACATATCACTACCAGTAAGGTTGCAGAACAATTGTGCATACTTAAGGTAAACAAATGCCAAGGGCCGCATAAATTGCAAATTGGATCCTTAAGGGAGGAAATTGCAGGAACTCTGGCACAAATCTTTCAGAAATCACTGGATACTAGAAAAATACCTGGGGACTGGAAAAAGGCACATGCTACTCCTATGTTTTTTAAAAAAAGTAGCAAAATTGACCCAAGAAACTACAGAACAATGAGTTTGACATCTATTGTGGTCAAAGTTTTGGAGATTCTTATTAAAAATAAAATCATGGAGCATCTGGACAGTAATGAAATGATAAAATATGGGTTCATGAAGTGGAAATGCTGCCAAACTAATTTACTGGTTTTCTTTGACTTTGTGACAAAGGAGTTTGATAAGGGTAAGCCAGTGGATATTGTATATCTGGATTTTAGTAAGACCTTTGGTACAGTTCCTCATGAAAGGCTGGTATTGAAAATAAAGAAAGCAGGAATCAGAGGAAGTATATTACAATGGATATGTAATTGGCTAACCGATTGAACCCTGAAGGTATGGTACAGGGAATGTCATCAGGCTGGAAGAAAGTTACCAGTGGAGTTCCGCAGAGGTCTGTTTTGGTACCTCGTTTATTTAACATGACCCAAAGCTAATGAAGGTGGTAGACTGCAAAGATGAGCATTATGGGTTACAGAAGAACTTGCAACATTCTTGGGAATTGGGCAGATCGATGGCAGATGAGATTTAATGTAGATAAATGCAAAGTGCTTCACATGGGGACAAAAAAATCCAGGGCCTATTATTTAAATGGTAAGAAAATAATCTGTACGGAAAATGAAAAGGACCCTGATCGACAATAAATTGAAGCTATTCCAACAGTGCTCAGTAGCAGTGAGTAAAGCAAACCAGATGCCAGGTTATATTAAAAGGGCATTATTGAGCCAAAATAGTGGGGTATTCCTGCCCTTTATAAATCACTGGTGCAACCGCACTTGGAATACTGTGTGCAATTCTGATCAACGCAATATAAAAAGGATATTGCAGTGATTGAGAGGATACAGAGGAAGGCAACCAAGATGATTGAGGGAATGGGGGACGACTACAAAGCGCAATTAAATAAGCTGGACATGTTCAGAATGGAGAAGAGAAGGTTGAGGGGGTATATGACTACGGTCTTTAAGATTCTGAAAGGAATAGATAATCTGGACGATGATAAGCTGCTTTATCTTGTAATGAACAGTAAAATCAGAGGACACGGCCTGCAATTGAAAGGGGTTAAATTCAGAACGGAGCTGCGGAAACAGTACTTCAGTGAGCGAGTAGTAAACTTATAGAACTGTAGCTCAGTGGTTAGAGCACTCGCTTTGCAAGCGAGAGACCTGAGTTCAATTCCAGGCAGAGGGCGAACCCTTGGGCAAGTTTCCTTACTCCATACAGAGCCTAATAATAATCCCTTCAAAAAAAAAACAATAATAAAATTGGTCATTTTCAATCTACGACTGTTTGTGGGACATTGCTGTGCGCAATTGGCTGCCGCGTTCGCCCACAAATATACAGTCAATTAACTTTACAGTGTGGTCTGTGAAGCGCTTTGGGACGTCCTCCCGACGTGAAAAGCGCTATATCAAATGCAAGGATTATTATTATTATAGAACAGGCTCTCTAAGGAGACAGTGCAAGCAGAAAATGTTTGTTTCAAGAACAAATTAGGTAAATTCTGCTAGAAAATAATATCTTGGGATACAGCATATTGGGACACAAAATGTCAAGCGACTGCCAGCAGGGTAGAAGGCAAACTAGATGGACCTTGATCTTCTTTCACCCAGCAAATTGTTATGTTCTTGTGTATGTAACAGCTTGTGTATCATGAGGAATATAAACGTTTGCATCATGGATGTAAACCAGGTTATTGCAACATTTATAACAGCCACTTGTATTTATATAGCGACTTTCACACAGGATAGATCTCGGAGGGCTGACATTTAGTTTTAACTCTGATTTAATTCCCAATTTGCTAATCCCTGGAAGGGTGTGGTGGGGGGAAGGGGGGAGCCATACATCCCTGGAGTTAAACTGGCTCCATTGTAGCGTGTCTGGTGATTTGGGGTCAGAGTTAGCTCATGTCATGCAATATACAGTCATTATACTTCACAGTAAAATCCTATGAAGTATTCTGAGACTTTTCAATGTTATATCAAATGCAAGTATTATTATTGAATAGCTGAGCCAGACACATCTGCACTACTCTGGAGCAAACTTGGATCATCACTGGGAATGGAGGAGTAAACCAGTAATAGAAATGAGTTTCTTCCAATCCAGCTCCTGACACGACAACCCTTTGTGCCTCTGCCCTAAATAAGTTGGATTGTCAGCAGTAAACTGCATGCTTTTAGCTGCAGCAGTTCCATTCCAGCAGTACCCAATGTAGACATAATTTCTTAGCTTCCAGCACCCTGCACCTATGTTTCCTGGGCATTGGGAAGCTGAGGCATGTTTTCCCTCCCCATGAAAGAGAGAAGGATTTCACCAGAAGTAGCAGACAGGAACTCTGCTTCTGTGAGTTCTTAGCAGCTGGAACTGAAAGGCCCTTAACCATGGCAAGGGGTTTCTGCACATGTCACGACTCCCAGCTGACCAAGAAACAAAGCAAACCATTCAAAACAAAACAGACAGTATCTGCACATTTGATTTACTCCCAAGCTGATCGCTGTATTTTTCTTTTTCTGCTGGCTCTGAAGTCGATCCAATTTTATTTGTAAGTAATGGAGAGAATTGGAAGGAAACGTAAATGCTGGGGTAATAAATGAGGGTTGGGATTTGAGGGAGTAATAAACATTAAAACAGATTTTTTTTAAAAAAGCAGAAAATGTAACATGAAAGATGTGAAATCTTTATGGTCTTAGCCTTTAGGTTGTTGACGTACAATTTAAAGTTGTGCGGAATTTTGGAACATTTAGACTGAATCTGGAAGCCAGTTTTCTGTAGTTCTTAAAATAAAGTGCAGAAAACTGCCTTCCAACATAAGAGTGAATTTAGGAATTTTTCCAAATTATCCATAATACGTTTTAAGACAATGGTTTTAAGCAAGACGGTCAGGTATTTGGGACACTGTGAAGGTGTATCTTTTTTATTATCGCAAATGGGAATCGCTGGCTGAGAACATTCTGGTGAATGTGGCTGCTGTTTCCCACTTTTAAACTTGGGGTTCAGC